CCCCGCAGTAACCGGGACAGCCCCCCATGGAACCCCCCATAACCGGGATAATGGGAACACCCCCCCATGGAACCCCCCCCCATAACCGGGATAATGGGAACACCCCCCCATGGAACCCCCCCCCCATAACCGGGAGAATGGGAACACTCCCCCATGGAACCCCCCCCATAACCGGGAGAATGGGAACACCCCCTATGGGGCTGGGATAATGGGAACACCCCCTGTGGGACCGGGACAATGGGAACATCCCTGCTTTGGGATCGGGGTAATGGGGGCAGCCCCCTATGGGACTGGGAGAATGGGAACAGCCCCCCATGGACCCCCCCATAACCAGGAGAATGGGAACACCCCCCCATGGAACCCCCCCATAATCGGGATAATGGGAACACCCCCTATGGGACTGGGATAATGGGAACATCCCTGCCTTGGGATCAGGGTAATGGGAGCAGCCCCCGTATGGGACTGGGATAATGGGAACAGCCCCCCATGGAACCCCCCATAACCAGGAGAATGGGAACAGGCACCCATGGAACCCCCCCATAACCGGGATAATGGGAACACCCCCTATGGGACCGGGATAATGGGAACATCCCTGCCTTGGGATCAGGGTAATGGGAGCAGCCCCCTATGGGACTGAGGATAATGGGAACACCCCCCCATGGACCCCCCCCATAACCGGGAGAATGGGAACACCCCCTATGGGACCGGGATAATGGGAACATCCCTGCCTTGGGATCGGGGTAATGGGAGCAGCCCCCTATGGACCCCCCCATAACCGGGATAACGGGGACAGCCCCCCTATGGAACCAGGATAATGGGAACACCCTGCATGGAACCCCCTGAGACTGGGATAATGGGGCCCCACCATGGGGCTCTGGGACCCACATTCCCTATGGCTCAGGGCTCCCCCTTTTCCCTATGGCTCAGGGCTCCCTTTCCCTATGGCTCAGGGCTCCCCTTTTCCCTATGGATCAGGGCTCCCTTTCCCTATGGCTCAGGGCTCCCCCTTTTCCCTATGGCTCAGGGCTCCCTTTCCCTATGGCTCAGGGCTCCCCTTTTCCCTATGGATCAGGGCTCCCTTTCCCTATGGCTCAGGGCTCCCCCTTTTCCCTATGGCTCAGGGCTCCCCCTTTTCCCTATGGCTCAGGGCTCCCCCTTTTCCCTATAGCTCAGGGCTCCCTTTCCCTATGGCTCAGGGCTCCCCTTTTCCCTATGGCTCAGGGCTCCCCCTTTTCCCTATGGCTCAGGGCTCCCTTTTCCCTATGGCTCAGGGCTCCCCCTTTTCCCTATGGCTCAGGGCTCCCCTTTTCCCTATGGCTCAGGGCTCCCCCTTTTCCCTATGGCTCAGGGCTCCCCCCCCTTTTCCCTATGGCTCAGGGCTCCCCTTTTCCCTATGGCTCAGGGCTCCCCCTTTTCCCTATGGCTCTCCCCACTGCTCATCCCTCCCTTTCCCTTTCCCTTCCCGTTTTCCCGCTCCAGAAGAAGGATCCAGCCCAATTCCTGCAGGTCCACGGCCGGGCCTGCAAAATCCACCTGGATTCAGCCGTGGCCTTGGCTGCCGAGAGCCCGGTGAACATGTGGGTGTCCAGTGCTCCAATGGGAATGGGGAGCTCCAATGGGAATGGGGAGCTGCAATGGGAATGGGGAGCTGCAATGGGAATGGGGAGGTGCAATGGGAATGGGGAGCTGCAGTGGGAATGGGGAGCTGCAGTGGGAATGGGGAGCTGCAATGGGAATGGGGAGCTGCAATGGGAATGGGGAGGTGCAATGGGAATGGGGAGCTGCAGTGGGAATGGGGAGCTGCAATGGGAATGGGGAGCTGCAGTGGGAATGGGGAGCTCCAATGGGAATGGGGAGCTCCAATGGGAATGGGGAGCTGCAATGGGAATGGGGAGCTCCAATGGGAATGGGGAGCCCCAATGGGAATGGGGAGCTCCAATGGGAATGGGGAGCTGCAATGGGAATGGGGAGCTGCAATGGGAATGGGGAGCTCCAATGGGAATGGGGAGGTGCAATGGGAATGGGGAGCTGCAGTGGGAATGGGGAGCTCAATGGGAATGGGGAGGTGCAGTGGGAATGGGGAGCTGCAGTGGGAATGGGGAGGTGCAGTGGGAATGGGGAGCTGCAGTGGGAATGGGGAGCTGCAATGGGAATGGGGAGCTGCAATGGGAATGGGGAGTTCCAATGGGAATGGGGAGCTGCAATGGGAATGGGGAGCTGCAATCCAATGGGAATGGGGAGCTCAATGGGGAGGTGCAATGGGAATGGGGAGCTGCAGTGGGAATGGGGAGGTGCAGTGGGAATGGGGAGCTCCAATGGGAATGGGGAGCTGCAATGGGAATGGGGAGCTGCAATGGGAATGGGGAGCTCCAATGGGAATGGGGAGCTGCAATGGGAATGGGGAGGTGCAGTGGGAATGGGGAGCTGCAATGGGAATGGGAAGGTGCAATGGGAATGGGGAGCTGCAATGGGAATGGGGAGCTGCAGTGGGAATGGGGAGCTGCAATGGGAATGGGGAGCTGCAATGGGAATGGGGAGCTGCAATGGGAATGGGGAGCTGCAGTGGGAATGGGGAGCTGCAATGGGAATGGGGAGCTGCAGTGGGAATGGGGAGGTGCAATGGGAATGGGGAGGTGCAATGGGAATGGGGGAGGTGCAGTAGGAATGGGGAGGTGCAATGGGAATGGGGAGGTGCAATGGGAATGGGGAGCTCCAATGGGAATGGGGAGCTGCAATGGGAATGGGGAGCTGCAATGGGAATGGGGAGCTGCAGTGGGAATGGGGAGCTGCAATGGGAATGGGGAGCTCCAATGGGAATGGGGAGCTGCAATGGGAATGGGGAGCTGCAGTGGGAATGGGGAGCTGCAATGGGAATGGGGAGGTGCAATGGGAATGGGGAGCTGCAATGGGAATGGGGAGCTCAATGGGATTGGGAGAGCTCAATGGGATTGGGAGAGCTCCAATGGGAATGGGGAGCTCCAATGGGAATGGGGAGCTGCAATGGGAATGGGGAGCTGCAGTGGGAATGGGGAGCTCCAATGGGAATGGGGAGGTGCAGTGGGAATGGGGAGGTGCAGTGGGAATGTAGAGTTCCAATGGGAATGGGGAGCTGCAGTGGGAATGGGGAGCTGCAATGGGAATGGGGAGCTGCAGTGGGAATGGGGAGCTGCAATGGGAATGGGGAGCTGCAATGGGAATGGGGAGCTCCAATGGGAATGGGGAGCTGTAGAGTTCCAATGGGAATGGGGAGCTGCAGTGGGAATGGGGAGCTGCAATGGGAATGGGGAGGTGCAATGGGAATGGGGAGCTCCAATGGGAATGGGGGAGCTCCAATGGGAACGGGGAGCTCAATGGGATTGGGGGAGCTCAGATGGGAATGGGGGGGGGGAGGGGTGCTCTTCCCCATGGGCATTCCCGGCATTCCCACCTCTTTTCCCATAGGATGCCCTGGCAAGGGGACACCAACAACATGATCGACCGCTTCGACGTGCGGGCGCACCTGGATCACATCCCCAGCTACAGCCCGGCCCTGCTGAGCCCCATGTGAGGGGGGAGCGGAATTCCAATGGGAATTGGGGCTTGGAACTGGGCAGGGTGGGAGGGAATTGCATTGGGATCAATGCGGAGCCGCCAGTGCCGTGGAGGGAGTCATCCATGGGTATCCCATAGGGATGGGTTTGGATCTGGCTCCATCCCCGTGTCCCAGCGCTGCTCCTGCTCCTGGAAATTCCCTTCCCAAAGGGAATTCCAATGGGAAATGATCCCTCAGTGGCTGCTCCTGCTCCTGGAAATTCCCTTCCCAAAGGGAATTCCAATGGGAAATGATCCCTCAGTGGCAGCTCCTGGAAATTCCTTTTCCAAAGGGAATTCCAATGGGAAATGATCCCTCAGTGGCTGCTCCTGCTCCTGGAAATTCCCTTCCCAACGGGAATTCCAATGGGAAATGATCCCTCAGTGGCTGCTCCTGCTCCTGGCAATTCCCTTCCTTCCCAACGGGAATTCCAATGGGAAATGATCCCTCAGTGGCTGCTCCTGGAAATTCCCTTCCCAAAGGGAATTCCAATGGGAAATGATCCCTCAGTGGCTGCTCCTGGAAATTCCCTTCCTTCCCAACGGGAATTCCAATGGGAAATGATCCCTCAGTGGCTGCTCCTGGAAATTCCCTTCCCAACGGGAATTCCAATGGGAAATGATCCCTCAGTGGCTGCTCCTGGCAATTCCCTTCCCAACGGGAATTCCTTTCCTTCTCCTTCCCTTGCAGTTCCCCGGAGCAGGAATCGGACGAGCGCAAATGCAACTACGAGCGCTACCGCGGCCTGGTCCAGAACGACTTCGCCGGCAGTGAGTGCCCTATGGGGCGCCCCATAGGCTATGGGGCAGTGCCCTCCCCCCCCATTCCCTGCATCCCATTCCCTGCATCCCATTCCCTGCATCCCATTCATTCCCTGTGTTTCCAGTCTCGGAGGAGCAGTGCCTGTACCAGATCTACATGGATGAGCTCTACGGGGGCCTGCCCAAGCCCAACGAGGAGGAGAAGAAGAAGTGAGTTATCCCAATGGGAATGCCGCGCCATTCCCGGGCTCTGGAATACGGGGGGGGGAAGGAAGCAGGATTGAGCATTCCATGCCCAGGCTGGCGGAGAAGAAGGCTTCCATTGGCTACACCTATGAGGACAGCACCGTGGCCGAGCTGGAAAACAGCGCGGAGAAGGGCCGGGAAGAGGAGGATTCCGAGGAGGAAAACAGCAACACGGATGAGGATGAAGTCATTCCTGACATTGGTATGGAGCCCATGCACCCCCCATCCCATCCGATTCCATCCCATGCCATCCATCCCATCCTATCCCATCCATCCCATCCTATCCCATCCATCCCATCCCATCCATCCCATCCCATCCCATCCATCCCATCCATCCCATCGCATCCATCCTATCCCATCCATCCCATCTATCCCATCCATCCCATCCCATCCATCCCATCCATCGCATCCATTCCATCCCATCCCATCCATTCCATCCCATCCATTCCATCCCATTCCATCCATCCCATCCCATTCCCCCGCATTGCATCCCATCCCATCCATCCCACCCCATCCATCCCATCCCATCTATCCCATCCCATCCATCCCATCCATCCCCCCTTATCGCATCCCATCCATCCCATCCCCCCCCATCCCATCCCATCCATCCCGTCGCATCCCATCCATCCCATCCCATCCATCCTGTCCTTCCCATCTCATCCCTCCACATCCATCCCATCCCATCCATCCCATCCATCCCATCCCATCCATCCCATCCCATCCTATCCCATCCATCCCATCCTATCCCATCCCATCCATCCCATCCCATTCCCGGTGCTGAGCCCCGGCGCCGCGCTCATCTCCCTCCCCTCTTCCCAACATTCCCAGATGTGGAAGTGGACGTGGATGAGCTCAACCAGGAGCAAGTGGCCGACCTCAACAAGCAGGCGACCACCTATGGCATGGCCGAGGGGGACTTTGTCCGGTAGGGCCGGAGCGGGGCCCTATTCCCAAGGGAGAATCCCTATGGATATGCCCAGGTTCCCCCCCCCTTCCTTTCCCTGATGGAGCCTTCATCCCAAGGATGCTGCGCAAGGACAAGGAGGAGGCTGAGGCCATCAAGAATGCCAAGGCTCTGGAAGAGGAGAAGGCCATGTACTCGGTACGGGATAGATCCCTCGGGATCCCTTCCCGGCCTCCCCGCTGCTGGAGGCGGCCCTGAGCTCCGGCTGCTTCCCGCAGGGCCGACGTTCCCGGCGCCAGAGGAGGGAATTCCGGGAGAAGCGCTTGAAAGGCCGGAAGATCAGCCCCCCCAGGTGGGTCCTGAGCGGGGAGCCCGCGTCCCAGCCCATTCCCAGCTCCTGGAGCTTGGATCCCACATCCAGCCCTGCCCCAGCCCATTCCCAGCTCCTGGAGCTGGGATCCAGCATCCAGCCCTGCCCCAGCCCATTCCCAACTCCTGGAGCTGGGATCCAGCATCCAGCCCTGCCCCAGCCCATTCCCAGCTCCAGGAGCTGGGATCCAGCATCCAGCCCTGCCCCATCCCATTCCCAACTCCTGGAGCTGGGATCCAGCATCCAGCCCTGCCCCATTCCATTCCCAACTCCTGGAGCTGGGATCCAGCATCCAGCCCTGCCCCAGCCCATTCCCAGCTCCTGGAGCTGGGATCCAGCTTCCAGCCCTGCCCCAGCCCATTCCCAGCTTCTGGAGCTGGGATCCAGCATCCAGCCCTGCCCCAGCCCATTCCCAGCTCCTGGAGCTGGGATCCCAGCTTCCAGCCCTGCCCCAGCCCATTCCCAACTCCTGGAGCTGGGATCCAGCATCCAGCCCTGCCCCATCCCATTCCCAGCTCCTGGAGCTGGGATCCAGCATCCAGCCCTGCCCCAGCCCATTCCCAGCTCCTGGAGCTGGGATCCAGCATCCAGCCCTGACCCAGCCCATTCCCAGCTCCTGGAGCTCGGATGCAGCACCCATCCCCTTCATTCCCATCTCCTAGAGCTGGGATCCAGCATCCAGCCCTGCTGCACCCCATTCCCAACTCCTGGAGCTTGGATCCCGCATCCAGCCCTGCCCCAGCCCATTCCCAACTCCTGGAGCTGGGATCCAGCTTCCAGCCCTGACCCAGCCCGTTCCCAACTCTCATAGCTGGGATGCAGCACACTCATCCCATTCCCAGCTCCCGGAGCTGGGATCCAGCATCCAGCCCTGCTGCACCCCACTCCCAACTCCTGGAGCTGGGATCCCTAAATCCAGCCCTGTCCTATCCCATTCCCAACTCCTGGAGCTGGGATCCAGCTTCCAGCCCTGCCCCAGCCCTGCCCCAGCCCATTCCCAGCTCCTGGAGCTGGGATCCAGCTTCCAGCCCTGCCCCAGCCCATTCCCAACTCCTGGAGCTTGGATACAGAATCCAGCCCTGCCCCATCCCATTCCCAGCTTCTGGAGCTGGGATCCCACATCCAGGCCTGCCCCAGCCCATCCCATCCAGCCCTCCCAGCCCATTCCCAACTCCTGGAGCTGGGATCCAGCATCCAGCCCTGCCCCAGCCCATTCCCAAATCCTGGAGCTGGGATCCAGCATCCAGCCCTGCCCCAGCCCATTCCCAACTCCTGGAGCTGGGATCCAGCATCCAGCCCTGCCCCAGCCCATTCCCAACTCCTGGAGCTGGGATCCAGCATCCAGCCCTGCCCCAGCCCATTCCCAGCTCCTGGAGCTGGGATCCAGCATCCAGCCCTGCCCCAGCCCATTCCCAGCTCCTGGAGCTGGGATCCAGCATCCAGCCCTGCCCCAGCCCATTCCCAGCTCCCGGAGCTGGGATCCAGCATCCAGCCATGCCCCAGCCCATTCCCAACTCCAGGAGCTGGGATCCAGCATCCAGCCCTGCCCCATCCCATTCCCAACTCCTGGAGCTTGGATACAGAATCCAGCCCTGCCCCATCCCATTCCCAGCTTCTGGAGCTGGGATCCCACATCCAGGCCTGCCCCAGCCCATTCCCAGCTCCTGGAGCTGGGATCCAGCATCCAGCCCTGCCCCAGCCCATTCCCAACTCCTGGAGCTGGGATCCAGCTTCCAGCCCTGCCCCAGCCCATTCCCAACTCCTGGAGCTGGGATCCAGCATCCAGCCCTCCCAGCCCCACACTTCCCCTGGGATCCACATCCAGCCCTGCCCCATCCCACCCTGCATCCCAGCCCCACACTCCTGGAGCTTGGATACAGAATCCAGCCCTGCCCCCCCTTCCCCCAGCCCCACACTTCCCCCCACAACCACCCCCATCCCCTTTCCCAGCCCCCACTTCCACAACCAGCCCTGCCCCTGACCCCTTTCCCCAGCCCCACACTTACCCCACAACCACCCCCTGACCCCTTTCCCATTCCCCCACACTTCCCCCCACACCACCCCCTGACCCCTTTCCCAGCTTCCCCCCACACAACCAGCCCTGCCCCCCCATTCCCCCCCAAACCACCCCCTGACCCCTGCCCCAGCCCCACACTTCCCCCCACAACCACCCCCTGACCCCTTTCCCAGCCCCACACCACCCCCTGACCCCCCCAGCCCCACCACCCCCCACAACCACCCCTGACCCCTTTCCCAGCCCCACACTTCCCCCCACAACCACCCCCTGACCCCTTTCCCAGCCCCACACTTCCCCCCACAACCACCCCCTGACCCCTTTCCCAGCCCCACACTTCCCCCCCACAACCACCCCTGACCCCTTTCCCAGCCCCACACTTCCCCCCACAACCACCCCCTGACCCCTTTCCCAGCCCCACACTTCCCCCCACAACCACCCCTGACCCCTTTCCCAGCCCCACACTTCCCCCCACAACCACCCCCTGACCCCTTTCCCAGCCCCACACTTCCCCCCACAACCACCCCCTGACCCCTTTCCCAGCCCCACACTTCCAACCACCCCCTGACCCCTTTCCCAGCCCCACACTTCCAACCACCCCACAACCACCCCCTGACCCCTTTCCCAGCCCCACACTTCCCCCCACAACCACCCCCTGACCCCTTTCCCAGCCCCACACTTCCCCCCACAACCACCCCCTGACCCCTTTCCCAGCCCCACACTTCCCCCCCACAACCACCCCCTGACCCCTTTCCCAGCCCCACACTTCCCCCCACAACCACCCCCTGACCCCTTTCCCAGCCCCACACTTCCCCCCACAACCACCCCCTGACCCCTTTCCCAGCCCCACACTTCCCCCCCACAACCACCCCCTGACCCCTTTCCCAGCCCCACACTTCCCCCCACAACCACCCCCTGACCCCTTTCCCAGCCCCACACTTCCCCCCACAACCACCCCCTGACCCCTTTCCCAGCCCCACACTTCCCCCCACAACCACCCCCTGACCCCTTTCCCAGCCCCACACTTCCCCCCACAACCACCCCCTGACCCCTTTCCCAGCCCCACACTTCCCCCCACAACCACCCCCTGACCCCTTTCCCAGCCCCACACTTCCAGCCCCCACTTCCCCCCCCACAACCACCCCCTGACCCCTTTCCCAGCCCCACACTTCCCCCCCAACCACAACCACCACCCCCTGACCCCTTCCCCCCCAGCCCCCAGCCCCACACCACCCCCTGACCCCCCCAGCCCCACACTTCCCCCCACAACCCTGACCCCTTTCCCAGCCCCACACTTCCCCCCCACAACCACCCCCTGACCCCTTTCCCAGCCCCACACTTCCCCCCACAACCACCCCCTGACCCCTTTCCCAGCCCCACACTTCCCCCCACAACCACCCCCTGACCCCTTTCCCAGCCCCACACTTCCCCCCACAACCACCCCCTGACCCCTTTCCCAGCCCCACACTTCCAACCACCCCACAACCACCCCCTGACCCCTTTCCCAGCCCCACACTTCCCCCCACAACCACCCCCTGACCCCTTTCCCAGCCCCACACTTCCCCCCACAACCACCCCCTGACCCCTTTCCCAGCCCCACACTTCCCCCCACAACCACCCCCTGACCCCTTTCCCAGCCCCACACTTCCCCCCACAACCACCCCCTGACCCCTTTCCCAGCCCCACACTTCCCCCCACAACCACCCCCTGACCCCTTTCCCAGCCCCACACTTCCCCCCACAACCACCCCCTGACCCCTTTCCCAGCCCCACACTTCCCCC